CAGTGAGGTCATATGATACATGTCTTTCTCTGATTGACTTATTTCGCTTAGCACAATACCCTCCAGTTCCATCCACGTCGTTGCAAATGGCAAGATTTCATTCCTTTTGATGGCTGCATAATATTCCATTGTATATATAGACCACATCTTCTTTATCCATTCATCTGTTGATGGACATCTTGGCTTCCACAGTTTGGCTATTGTGGACATTGCTGCTATAAACATCGGGGTGCACGTACCCCTTCGGATCACTACATTTCTATCTTTTTCCATCAGAGTATTGCACATTTTTTAATAGAAACTTTATAAACAGAAAGTTTTTATTTTATTTTTTAAAAGTTAAGAAACCCTGGGCACCTGGGTGGCTCAGTTGGTTGAGTGATCAACTCTTGATTTTGACTCAGGTCGTGATCTTAGGGTTGTGGGCTTGAGCCCCACATCAGGCTCCACCCTCCTTCTACCCCTCCCCCACTCTTTCTCTCTCTAAAATAAATAAATAAATCTTGTTTAAAAATCAAGAAACTCAAGTTATTGAGTCTCTGATGATTTGACAATGATGTTTCAGACTGAGGACTAAATGCTTTTCAGACATTATCTTATTTAATACCATATAACAATGCTATGAGGTATAGGTATTTTTATTATGCTCACTTGGCAGATGAGGAATGTAAGGATCAGAGAGGAAATGTAACTTGTTCAAGGTCACCCACAAGTAATTAGCAGAGCCAAAATTTGAACACAATCAGTCTGACTTGAAAACAAGTTTATCCTGCATGTATATGCATTTACTTTTTATAAGACTAGTAAGTTCTTTAAAGGAAGAGGTGGGTCTCATGGGTTGTTTTTTTTCCCTTTTGCACAAAACTCTAAGCATTTTTTCTATATATAAAACAAATACCTATTGACTAATTCAGATAAATCCTATCACACTGTTTTATAATAAATATAAATATTTGGTAAATTCAAACTATGAGTAAAACCCTAGTATCTCCAGATAAATTAAATAATTTAATCATCATTACAGCCTCATAAGACAAGTATTTTTATGAAACTGGATAGATTCCTGACTTACAATCAATCAAGGCCTTCAGATATTTTTGCTATTAGTAGAAACTTAAGTCTGACTTAGATAATGATTTAGGTAATTTTGTCACTTGTTAAAATTATATGATTCTTACAGAAAAAGAAGGCATTCCGAGAATTTTCTGGATTGGCTTAAATCAGCTATACTCTGGTAGAGGCTGGGAATGGTCAGACCACAAGCCATTAAACTTTCTCAACTGGGACCCAGGTAACTGCTCCCTCCTCCACCTACTATGCACAGAGCAAAAGCTTCAAAAAAGTAAATAAACAAAAGCATCCCACTCACTGACAGCTTATAAAAATTTCAAATCTTGACAACTGTTATTATGGTTACTTCTCCAAAGAATTTTTTCCCCTAATTCCTTCTTTACCGTGATACCATTATAGCCAAGTTGAACCATATCATGGATAACTGAGCATTTGTCTCTAACCTTTACAGCAACCCTACATTTTTAAGTAACAGCAGAATAAACCCCATCACATGGCCTAGAAGCTGTTCTGTGTCCCTCAGGCGACTTGACGTGTCTATGACTAACCTGTGTTGTTTCATCTGCAGCTCAAATCCATACAGAAATATGTTCTCATTTTAAAACTCTTGGGGTCTCGTACGGTAGTGCTCAAGTACTAACAACATAATGGCTGTATTTTATTACACAGATGAGTACCTTAAAGAAAATTTTATAGTGAATAAAACAAACAAAATCCTACTTAGCCAAAAGATTTTTCTCCCAAAAGAAGTTTAGATACCTTTTAAAAAATAAAATAAAATCTTGGGCTTCTGACAAATGTAGAACCTAAAAGTTAACACTAGCTTCAGTATGAAAGTATCCTGTACACATAAAAGAAAAATGGGTTAAGTGCAATAAAATACCAATAGGTCATTTTAGTTTAATGAAACTTTATTACTAGTGAATAAATTCTCTATTATCTCAGTAAATAAAATCTTTAAAGATAATTTAACTTTTAATTCAAGGTCTTAAGAGCATTACAGAATCATAAATTAGAATATTTATTGTATAGAGTAGAAGATTAAGAGCTACTGTCTGCAGAGTATGATATGGAAATTGATTGGGGGCAGAGGTTTGTTTTTGATTTTTGGTTTTGTTTTTTAAGTTAACTATACTGTGTCATAGTATTTGGCCCTGGATCTTGTATTTTAGAAGGAAGACATATTTAAGCACATGGGTGTCCATTGAGGCTTATACATCTCAATTTCGTAGAAGGTTTAACTATTTTATGAGTTTCAATAAAAGCAGAAAATTAGGAATACAAATTATTTTTTCTAACCATCACTCTGGGCCTAACCTTCTCTTTCTAATTCTTTGAAAATTCTACTGTTTAAGATATGCCTAGTGCACCTATGATAATAGGTGGATCCAGCTGTGCAAGAATGGATGCCATGTCTGGTCTATGGCACAGTTTTTCCTGTGAAGCTCAATTGCCCTATGTCTGCAAGAAACCATTAAATAACACAGTGGAGTTAACAGGTATCTTTTTCATTTCCTTGTGCAAGTAGGTCTTCAAATTATAGTTTTGTGAAGTCAAGTAATTCCATTTCAGATATCTAATTCTACCTTTCCTTCACCTGTTACTGCCAATGCCAAAAACTACTTCATTTAGACCCTGTGGTTGGATATTATTAACTTTATATGTGTAAAGCTTTGGTTTGGTATATCCCCATAATAAGGCAGAGGTATTCTAGGTAAGAAATACGTTTCTGTTCACAGGTGGCTCTTTTTTCTTTGGAACAGTTGTGCTCAGAGTATGGTTCCTAGACCAAGAGTATCAGTATCACCTGTACCTGTTTGAAATACAAATTCTTAGGACCCACCCCAGACTTACTGAATCAAAAGTTCTGTGGGCCCCAACAATCTGTGTTTTAAGAAGCCTTCCTGGAGATGCTGATGCACACTCAGGTTTTATGTATGACCTGCCTCTGTAAGAAGTAGAAAAGGAATGGATGGGGGAACTCTTCTAGGGTTTCCAGTTCCTGCCCCACGATGCCCACCTCTGCTGTGTCCTTCTTTGCCAGGCTGCTTCTTTAGGTTGTTTTGTTGATAAATCAGGTAGAAAAGGGGAGGTGCAGAAGGACAAAATGTGTACAAGGAGGGTTTTGTTTTGTTTTTCAAGGGATTTCAGGGATAAGAGAAACATGGAACAGTTGAAGTTTCTGAGGTGTAAAGAAACTTCAGACGCCTTTGAAAGAATAAGAAGAGTGTCCTTACTGTCTTGCACAAGCCCCACCACATACCTGGTATTTGATTAAATCCTCCTGAATAAGAAAAACTATTACTCAAAACTGGGAGGGAAAAAAAGGAGGTTTTAAAATGTCTTGTTTAAAGAATGTTGGGGGAAAGGAATAAAATTTCTTATCCATACAGGAGCATAAAGCTATTTTTTAAGACTAAAAATAAATATGTAGAATAAAGATTGTCAGGAGATGTTTTATTAAAATATACGGGGAAATGAACATTCATCTTCCAAGTTGATTCAAACCAAATTTAGTCCACACAACAAAAAGCATAATAGAAAAGACAGCACAGATGAAAATAAACCAGGGTGACTGATGATAGATCAAATAAATATGCTGTAGTAGCAATTATTAAGTAAATCATGATGTTTCCACATGATCGAGTAATATGCATTTATTAAAATAACTGTGCCAACAGGAAAATACAAGAGCAGAGCAAAATGATATGCCTACTTATCATTTTAATCTTGTAAAAATATGTATTCACAGAGACAAAGACTAGAATAGGAAAATGTTTGTTCTAAGTTCAATTATGGGTATTTTTTCCTCTGTTCCTTTATCACAATTGTAAAATAAAATAATAATAATAATAGCAGCAAGTGCTATTTCAGAAACTTAAAATTGAGTTATCTTGCAAGTGTGAGAAGCTAACTGGACCTGAATTTTATCTTTAAATGAAGAATAAACTGTCCACATTTTTAAGATGCTGTGTTTTCATACAACAGACATTCCAAACAGTTTAGAATCCATAAAGTCTGAGTAATTGACTTAATTTCTAATTCTATTAAGAAGGATAGAAGTATTTTGTGCGGTTTTATACCTCAGTCTTTTTCTCCAGTCTTTCTTGACCATCATCTGAGTGAGTTTTAACGTGGTCAAAACAAAGAATCACTAAGTGCATGAGGACGTAAGTCTAGTAGCGGGAAGGAGAGAAGAGGTCCAGAGAGGTCCTGTGCCCTATCCCTTGAATTGCTATCTTCTCTTTCATGTGGACTTTATAAATGTTTTACTCTATTCCTTAAATCTCTGTCCTTTGTCCAATGGTAGGCATGAACGCACATCCCCTGCTAATCTGACCATACATGAAAGGAGGCTGGACTTCATAACCTCTCAAAGTCAGAGATTGGAGGGGAACCTAACAAATCCCCATACCAAGGAAGATTGGTCAGCAACTGGCTTACCCCGCACAATTCTCCTGTCTATTAGGACTAAGGGCAGTCCCTCCTCAAATAGTCAGAGCTTAATCATGTAGCACATTTGTATCACATTACAGTCATATCATTATCTTTACCCCTGCAGTCATTCTTATGATGCTATGTAGAATGAAGCAACACGTAAATTCATGTCCCTGTGCTATTTGACATCCCATTCCCCAGTTTTCCAGAATCTTGATGATTTAAGAAGGAAGAATTTGCAATGTTATTGATTCAAAATAGATGTATCTTTACTGGAATATAAATAGCTGCTTTTCCTGCAGATATTTGGACATATTTAGATACACACTGTGATGCAGGCTGGCTGTCAAATAATGGGTTTTGCTATCTGCTGGTAAATGAAAGTGATTCCTGGGATAAGGCACATACGAAATGCAAAGCCTTGAGCGGCGATCTCATCAGCATTCATTCTTTAGCAGATGTGGAGGTGGTTGTCACAAAACTCCATAATGGGGGTAAGTTTTTAAAATATCCTATTTGAGAGGTTTAAAACATTCTGAAGTACCCCTATTTTTAGACTCTTGGTGGGAATGAAAGCTTACAATTTGATCCTTACAGATCAGCACTGTCCAGTAGCATTTTCTGTGATGATGGAACTGTTCTATAATCTGTGCTGTCCAGTACAGCTGCCACCAGCCATTTGTGGCTTGTGAACACTTGCAATGTAACTGAGGAACTGATTTTAACTTTTATTTAATTTTAATTAATTTACAAATAGCCACATGTTGGGGCGCCTGGGTGGCTCAGTCTGTTAAGCGGCTGCCTTCGGCTCAGGTCATGATCCTGGGGTCCTGGGATCGAGCCCCGCATCGGGCTCCCTGCTCAGCGGAGAGCCTGCTTCTCCTTCTCCCTCTGCCTGCCACTCTGCCTACTTGTGCTCTCTATCTCTCTGTCAAATAAATAAATAAAATCTTTAAAAAAAAAAAACAAATAGCCACATGTAGCTAATAGCTGCCAATTTGACAGTATAGCCAGTGATTGAATAATTTCCCTCTTCTCATAAGCTAAATGCTATTTAAGTTGCTTCAGATGCTTAAGTGATGATTATTTCACAATTATTTCCCTTTTGTAATTATTTAAAAGCTAAAGACTGAAGAACAAAAATACACTAGACAGGCTGTATTATATCCTCCTCCTAGGATTCACTAATAGTAATAGCTAATAATAGACACCTATTCTGTGTCAGCATGGTGTTAATTGTTTCCCCTGGGAGGGCAGCATCATCATCCCAGGGCGGGGATGGACATCAATCCTATTCTAACTGGAGTATCTATGATTGTATTTGTAGAATTTCATTGCAGTTTTCCCCTGCTGTCCAAAAGGAGACTGTTCTTATGAAACCTTTCATAAACCAAAATGGCATAAAAACAAAGAAGCAAACACCATTTTGTAAAGGCAAAAATCCACCTCAGATTTCTTTCACTTAGTGAAAACAGGCAGTAAAAGTGAAGTGGCAGAAAGAACTTTCGGATAGCAGAGGAAACCTGTATACCCCATAAAGCAAGGTTTATCTAAATCAGATAGCAGAAACACCTAACCTACAGATCACAGTGTGACTTTTCCACTGTGTACTCTGACTGCATAAGTACCCTGAAAAGCCCTTGACTCCTGGCCTGCCTAAATTTTCAATATTTTCATAGATTAATTACAAATACCATGGAGGCTCCTAAAACCCCATTATCAGAATGTAAAATCAGTAACAATGTACATATTGAAGTATGTAATTGAGTAAAGCCAAATAAAAAAATATTTTTCTTTTAGATGCCAAAGAAGAAATATGGATAGGTCTTAAGAACAAAAATGTACCAAGTTTATTTCAGTGGTCTGATGGTACTGAAGTTACTCTAACATATTGGAATAAGAATGAGCCAAATGTTCCCTACAATAAGACTCCCAACTGCGTTTCCTATTTAGGAAAGGTAGGAAACTTCCTGTGGCTTATTTATATTCTTATTGTATACCAAATAATATTAAGATGATTTTGGTTGGGATATTTGTGTTTAAGCCTGGAAAGAAAATAAAAGGTAAAAGCCCTGTAGATTGTCTTTCTGGAAGCTACTGGAAAAAAAGATGTAAATAAAACAATGACTAAGTAAGCAATCCACTTCCTGTCTGAGAGTATCTGCTCTGGTCTGAAACACATGAAGGAAATCCCATTAGAACTCAATTCTTGTGCCAGATTGGTTCTAATAAGCTGCTTTCTCTCTGGACCATCAGGATATTTAACATATAACTACAACTTAAAGGGAAAAATCCCATCTTATGAATTCATGTTCAGATTTTTATATTAATCTTACTTTGAGAAGTGAAAAAATATTTTTATTTAAAAATTAGGTCCAGGGGCTCCTGGCTGGCTTAGTCAGTGGAGCATGCAACTCTTGATCTCCAGGTTGTGAGTTCGAGCCCCACATTGGGCACAGAGATTAATTAAAAAAATAAAATCTTTAAAAATTAATTAATTAAAAATTAGGTCTAATTTTTTCAGAGAACAGCTTTCTTCTGTAGAATGCTTAACTATTTATTGAACATGCTTTAGTCAAGAGTCCAAAATAGGCTGCATGTTGAGAGAAAAGACATGTGTATCTTTATATTTTGTTTGTATCACTTTCCTGGGGACTTCTAATTATTTAGGAGGCTTGTGTCCCCCAAACTTCTAGAGAGACTTAAGTGGAAGCAATAAATGATATGTGTATTTAGGAGTGTTTCAAGAGTAAAAATGTATCCAGAAAGGTGTCATAGATGAATTTAGAAGGGTGTCACATTTGGTGCTGTATTTAAAAGGATATTTAAGATGTCTTTGATAGAGTGTCAAAGATAGAAATGAGATCCCACAGGCAAGACTAAACTGATAACATACCTAGACAGCATTCCAGTGTTTGAAACTGACCCTTATCACAATTGACTTGTTGAAATTTAATTTGAAGAAAGCAGAGTGACTTAAGCAAAAGTCATGTTAAGAGAGAATTTTGAAGTCTAAGCTAAAGTAGAGTGGAAGGAACTTTTGATTCTGAGAGTAGCTGTTCTAACTACCATGATTATGTTATATATGAGGAGATTGAAATAGCATGGTAGGTTGACATGTCCGAAAGTTTTTAAACAATGGGCAAACTTTGACCATGTCATGTGCGAGAAGACTTGAACACTGTCAACTGCGTGTAGGCTGAGTTCTTCTTTTTTCAACTTCTGTACTAAGTGTCCTTTGATGGTTTTATTGTTACTCTTCTAAGAAAATGGAATTCATCTCCACTATGATCTTGAGGTGGTGCTGAAATTACAGACTGTGAGCCACAACCCTGCAGGACTGTCGGGTAGCATTTTCTAGGAGTATGTTCCCAGACATAGTCATTCATTTTCCCTTTCCCTCCCCTTCTTCCTCCCCTTGCCCCTTGCTCACAGTTTTGTGAGAAGAAACTGTCTTGATTTTAAAATAAGTTAGAGTTCAACTCTAAATATATGGCAAATAATTTCTCTGTGGAAAAAATTTTTTTCTATTTTTAAAAAGTTAGGTCAGTGGAAAGTCCAGTCCTGTGAAGAGAAACTTAAATATGTATGTAAGAAAAAGGGAGAACAAATGAATGATACAACATCTGACAAGATGTGTCCTCCAGATGAGGTATGTAAAGTCCCTGCGTAAGTTTTCTAAGCAATATTACACCTTCTTGGTTAAGGATGGTAGGTAAGACTGAAACAATTCAGACTTGGAAAATAGAAGAAATGGCTACCTTCTGTTCATTTACATTACAGCAAATCAGAGGGCAGTGAATCATTACATATTGGCGTTCTTACAGAAGAAAAAATGTTATAGGAAAGAGTTACCTATTCATGATTTCTATAAAAATGTATGTGATTATAATCCTTAATGCTGATGTCTTTACTTCCCCCATTTATCTTTTTCCTCTCCAAAAGTAGTTCAACCAACAACGTTATAGTCTTATGAGGAGCTAGGCCCTGGAGGCAAAGAGAAATAAGACAGACCTTCTGTCTGACACAGGCTCACAATCCTGTAGGAGTTATCTATGAAGTTGTATCCCACCTTCATCATGTGTATGAATTACCGGTCCATGTCCTTGATTTCTCTAAGTTTGAGATGTTACCAGTGTAGCAGAATCATGCTTAAAGGTAGGACATTAAGTCTGAACAGTGTGATATTTCTCCTCGGATTTAGGGCTGGAAAAGACATGGAGAAATCTGTTACAAGATTTACAAGGATGAAGTCCCCTTTGGAACCAACTGCAATCTGACTATAACTAGCAGGTATGACCATCAGTAAACATGTACTGATGAACTTTTAACTCTGGGTTAGCTTTACAAAATAAGACTCCTAAGAGAAAGGTGCATTTTCAATTTATATAGTAATTCAATCATTATAAAAACACCTACTAATTTAACTCTTGTTTTGTAGATTTGAGCAAGAATACCTGAATGATATGATTAAAAAGTATACTAAATCTCCAGGAAAATACTTCTGGACTGGCCTGAGAGACATAGATTCACAGGGAGAGTATAGCTGGACAGGAGTTGGTGGAGTAAAGCAAGCTGTAACATTTTCCAACTGGAATTTTCTTGAGCCAGGTGAGTGCCTTACTTTTAAAGTAGGAGAATACAATGATTTGTGAAAAGCAGTGTACCTCCCAGATATGGTCTTCACTTAGCTTTGAAATGTGAGGGAAATGATGATCTTCAGGATGAGAGTCTGTCTATGGAACCATAAATAGAAGCAGTGACTGTGTCTTCCTTATGAAATCCTTGGGAATAACCCCCCAAAAGGAGATAAAAAAACTCAGTTCTCAGAAACCACCCTCTAATGGCACAAAGCTAGAACCATCAATGCAAGTTTATCTTTTCCATGTAAGTCTCAAACAGAATCTAGAAGCTTCATTTTGAAGTGCTTTACACTTTCATCTCTCTGCTTTTTTCTCTTAGCTTCTTTCTCCAAAATTGAATGTGTTTATTTCTATTATTCCGAATGGGTGAGAATTAAGGAGGCAATATTGTAGGTATTATTTATCTGAAAGTTAGTTCATCTTTCTTTAACAAGCTCAAAGCATTGACCATAATTAGCCATAGAATCAGAACATTTTGAACCAGAAAGGACCTCAGAAGTCCCTTCTGATTTTAGAGTTGAGAAGACAGAATCTCAGAAAGTTGATCTACTTGACAAATGTTACCTAGTTATTGAATTACTAAAATCCAGATCCCCTGATTTCTAATCAAATGCTTTGTATAGGATTTTGGTTTTCTATAAAAAAAGCTAATATGAACCACTTAGGCTATGCTGAGCAGCTTCGTAGTTTAGGGTACAGCTCCAGATGCAGACCACCTGGGTTCTAGTTCTGGATCAACCACTTACTAACATGTGACCTTGGACAAGTCACTAATCCTCACTGTACCTTAGTATGACAATAGAATCGACTCTGGAGGTCAGTTGTAAGGACTGATTCATTTGATAATGTTAGAATAGTACCTGGCAAGTAATAAACACTTCTCTTTATTACCATCATCATCGTCATCATCATCATCATTATTATGAACAACACATTTCTTTCTTCCGTTATCTTTTATATTCTTTCTCCAGACCTTGGCCCAAATAAAGGGCAAGGATACTAGAAAGTATTTGGACTTTAATTTTCAAATGTAATGTTTAGTTAAACTTTCTGATTCAACCCCAGCTTCCCCGGGCGGGTGTGTGGCTATGGCTACTGGAAAGTCTCTTGGAAAGTGGGAGGTGAAAGACTGCAGAAACTTCAGAGCACTCTCAGTTTGCAAGAAAATAAGTGGGCCCATTCAGCCTGAAGAAGTAGCTCCTAAGCCTGAAGACCCTTGTCCTGAAGGCTGGCATAGTTTCCCCTCAAGTCTTTCTTGTTATAAGGTAAAGTAACATTCTCATTCAGTTCCTTAATGAGGTTATCTTTCTACTATCCTAGTCCATATGCTTGTAGAAATTATGCTCCTCTCCAGGCATATACGTAACCTACCAACGTGTTTGGGAGCACCATTGAACCTTTGTCATGAGACAGCTCATCCCCAGATGAACTCATGTCCTACCCAAAAGAGCAGGACCAGAGCCAGAACTGGCTCTTTTCTAGTGTTCTTTTGTTCTGAGAAGTTAAGTAAGCTACATGCCATGCTGACACTTCGCTTATTATTCTCATATCCCTCTAATCCTTATGTCAAACGAAGAATTCTAACATTCTTATAATTTAAAAAAAATTATTTTGGGGCCTCTATCAGTCAGCTGTTCCCCAAAGAAACCATTACATACCATCCCAAAACTCAGTGGCTATAACAACAAACATTTAGTCCCATGTTCACAGATCTCTGGGTCAAACAGGGATTGATTGTTTTAGTTTAGGCTTGAATGGTGAGCTCTGCTTTCAACTGTGGGTCAGCTCTGCTGGGCTCCAGGCTATGAGTTGGGGTGTGCTGCCTTTTGATCGGGTCTCAGGCTGAAGGGTCAGTAGCTATCAGGGGCTTGTTCTTCTTATGGTCAATTGCTGGAGACTGAGAGGAAAGCCTAACCATGTAAGCACATTTCAGGCCTCTGTTCACTGTACCTCCACTAATATGCCATTGATCACAGCAAGCTACATGGCCAGGCCCCAAATCAAGGTACAGAGAAGGACACTTCACCCACCAGGAAGCCATGGCAAGAATGTACAGTTATATCACAGGGAACTGAAGAATTGGGATCAGTAATTCAATCTACCATTGTATCATCTCCTCCTCTTCTTTTTTTGGGAAAAAATTAATCCTCACAAACCAAAGAAAGAGTCTGAAGTGGCAAGTTTTGTTTTGCCACCCTCTGTCAATGTTAGCACACCAGTGCAATCTGCCTTTTGCTTCATCTTCATCAGAAAATAGGCCTGTACTTATACAGGTCTTAGTGTATTATGTTCATAATTATGTTGTTTCTCTGCAGAAGTCTACTCCCAAAGTATTCATATGTATCCTTTATAGCCTCACCTGCTGGTCCTAGGAATGTGGGAGAATATGGTGTCTTGTTGGAGCAGTTCCCCATTCTAGCTGAGGAAGGGCATCCATCTGACAGCAGTAGCTGGCCCCTGTGCTGGCCTTTTAGTTGACACTTTCAGCAGGTCCTGTTTGTGTCACAGTATATGTTTTTTCACCTGTTTTTGTTACAGGTAAAAACAAAAACATTTTCATGTTATTAATACACGTATGAGAATCCATTTCAGAAGCCTACATGTTTGAATTTAAGAAACAAAATAAAAGAACAAAGGAAAAAAAAGAGAAACCAAAAACAGACTCTTAACTATAGAAAACAAACTGAGGGGAAGTGGGTGGAGAGATGGGTGAAATAGGTGATGGGGATTAACGAGTACACTTATGATGAGCACTGAGTAATGTATTGAATTATTGAATCACTCTATTGTGCACCTGAAACTAATATAACACTGTATGTTAATTATATTTGAATTAAAATAAGAAACTTAATTTCAAAACCTACACATTTGACCATAATAAACTTTGAAATTATGAATACTTTATGATTATGCCAGAAAAGAGATTAACATTGTGCCTTGTTAAGCTGTTTCATATAGAAAGAATTGTAAGAAAAAGGAACTGGGAAGAAGCTGAGAGATTCTGCCAAGCTCTTGGAGGACACCTTCCTAGCTTCACTCATATGGATGAAATAAAGGAATTTCTTCACTTTTTAATGGACCAGTTCAGGTAATACTTTTAGAATGAGATCTTCTATGCTAAATTTAATGTCCTCCAGGTATTCAGAATTGACATGTTTTATTTTCTAAAAGGGTCATTCAGTGCTAAGCAGTCATTCAACATCAAACATTTTTATGTGCAAGACACTATAAATAATTCAAAGATGAGGGAGATAGAATCCCCATCCTTTATGTAGCATGATGAAGTCCAACAATGGGGATAAGAAAAATATGGTGAAAATCTAGAACAAAGGTAAGGAGGGACCATGGAATTTTAAAGATGGATGAAATGCTTTGGGGAGTTATAATTGGGAAAAATGTTATGAAGAAGAATAGTTCTTAGAAAGTAAGGTAGTATTTTGAAAGGTAAGACCAGGAGAAGGAGCCCGAGAAAAAAGAACATTAGCAAAGGTACTGAGACCAGAGTGTACAGATATGGTCAGGGAGAAATGAGTCATACCACTTAGCTAGAAAATGAGATTTGGATATGAAATTGGAGCATCCTTCTTTGCCAGGGAAAGAGTTTGATCTTAAGTCAATAAGCAAAAAACAAACAACAACAAAGGTGTTCATATGTGTGTGTATGTGTGTATATATAAAGAAAGAGAGAAAGAGAGAGAGGGAGAAAGAGAGAGATGGTAGGTAGATGCAGGGCAAGTAATTAGAAGGCTATTACAGCCCTTTGGTGGAAAACTACTTTGAGAATGGGTAGGAAGAATGTGAATATAGGTAAGTACTCAGAGATGCCACAAAGACAGAATCAATAAGGCATTGTGATTTTGATCTTATGGTGGAAGGATTCCTGGATGATTTTCCTGATGTTCTTAGGGACAATGTGGAGGAATATGGACCAGGCAATGCTGTCATAGGAGAAAAATTTCTCTGAAGCTTTGGGAGCAAACATGAGTATGAGGGCCTTCAACTTCACAAATTTATTTTTTTCCTTCCCTCATTTTTATGAACTGAAAAGAAGATCCAAATCTGTAAATCAAGGATTCAGGGTATACCAGGCAAAATTATGGAAAAAAAATTACCGTTTAGACATATCCTTGTGAATACCTTCCATCATTTTGACTCAAACAAAAGCCTGAAAGAATAATGGCAAAAAAAATAAACAAAACAGGTAACAAAACACAAAACCCAGGTAGCTTCTTCTCTACATTAAATGTAGGAAGGCATTTAAAAACTGACATCTAAAGAGTTTTGAGGTGGGGGCGCCCAGGTGGCTCAGTCCGTTAAGCAGTTAAGTGTCTGCCTTCAGCTCAGGTCATGATCCCAGGGTCCTGGGATCAAGCCCTGCATCCAGCTTGGGGATCCTGCTTCTCCTTCTCCCACTCCCCCTGCTTGTGTGCTCGCTCTCTCCCTCTCTCTCTCTGAATCTTTTTTAAAAAATAGAGTTTTGAGGTGGAAAATGTTTGCAGTATATTAATTTTAGTTCTCAATTACATTGCTTTTTGTTTGTGAAGATTATTATTGATATAACCCTATAGCTTCCTTCTTGAAAAAAATTCAAAGACACATTCCAGCTGAGGGATGAATTAAAAATCAGGAACACATGCATAGGTAGTTTATTTTAAAAGAATTAGGAGGAAGAATATATAATGTAAAAACATCCCCAGTATAAATAATGCAATATGTACATGTAATAATAAAAATAGAAAGAAATTATCCTAAATCCTGAAAGAGAAACATGAGAATATTTTAATAAGACCAGGTGTTTAGCTCTGTTTATAAATAAAAACTGGGATATAAAGAGATAAAATGGTTGTAAAAAATGAAAGTATAATAAATTCCTCATTTACCTAAAAGTCATATTTAGAAACACAAATTATATACATTTTTTAAAACAGAGTGTGTTTATTTACTGAATATATAATGGGTGAAATAAAGGTTTATATAGTAAATTATAAAGAAATGAAATAACAAAGCATGAAATCCAATATAAAGCAAGATGGCAGAAGACCAGATTTATCTCTTACCAGTTATGTTTAAGTCTGCAATTTCTTCAATAATGAAATTCAGCTATATGCTGTTGAAAAATACCTCAAACGAATCTTACCAATTAGTACCTATCCATCCCAAAGAGTATGATGTTATGTTCCTAGAAGGAAGAAGCTACAAAGTGTTTCAAAGTTGAGAATTTTGATAAAAATCCATATTTTTAACACTTCCTTAAAAATTAAAACAACAGGACACATTTTCATATTGTAGCAATAATTGGTTAGTCCTGAGTAGCCAGTGGCTTACCAAGATAGGGCATCACTCTACTATTTGTGGTGGTCTCTAATTTATTACTCCTTGATCCACTTCACTTAGTTATGTTCTTGTCCCATATTAACCTAAATAGCATTGAGTTAATAATCACAAACTTAATACAGTAACTAAAATGGGAAAATTAAAAAATGAGCAAAATTATATTGTGCAAATGTGAACAAAAAACTGGAGTCACAGTATTATTATTAGATAAAATACAACTGAAGTAAAAATGCACCAAATGGGGAAATGAGATCTATTTCATATTGAATAAAGGTACAATCTACAATGACATTATAATAGGCAAGAACCATTACACATTAAAAAATATTGGCGTCAAAATATATGAAGCAAAAAAATTACTTATATTAGTGAAATTCTCCAATAAATAACAATAATGGGAGACTTTAACACTTGTCTGATTCATCAACAAGTGAGAAAGACAAAAGGAAATAATATACGAATAGTATAATTAAGATTGATTTAACAATATCCTCTTTGTTCATATATTACAAAGTCTATATATATTTTCTCTTCAGCCTCTTTGCCTGTATCACTTATGATAATTGATCTCTTAGACTAAAAAGAAAATCTAAAATTCCAAAGTGGTGAAATTATACAGGTACATAAGAAGTGAAGTCAAGCCATATCCACTTATAAATTCAATGTTTTTAAGTAAATTTTTTGGCAAATAAATGAAAACTGTATAGATGATAATAACAACACTCATTCTGAAATTCATGGGATATAGCCAAAGCTATAGTTGGAGGTACATTAATAGCTTTAAGAGCTTTAATTATTAAACAAAAATAATGAAAATAAGCATTCACCTAAAAGTAAAATAAATTTCAACATCAATACAAGGAAACCATAAGAAAGAACATAATAAAGATTTTGTATAAGGATAAAGATACTTAAAATGAAGACTCAGTAAGGGATTATAAAACCCATTTCATGGAGAAATTTTTTAATTGGTAAGAATACTATGCATAATTCTATGCTGTTACAAATGAAGTTGTTAAAATGAACAATTTCTAGAGAAATACAAATTACTATACAATTGATATTTTAAGTAGAAACCAAGTAATTTAATAGCCATGAAAGAAATGGAAAAAGTCGACAAAGAATTTCTTCCAAGAAAGAGATAGAAAGCATAATATATGGTTATATATGTGAATTTCTTCACATTTTATTTTATTTTTTTAAAGATTTTATTTATTCGACAGAGAGGCACAGCGAGAGAGGGGACACAAGCAGGGGGAGTGGGAGAGGGAGAAGCAGGCTTCCCATGGAGCAGGGAGCCCGATGTGGGGCTCAATCCCAGGACCCTGGGATCATGACCTGAGCCGAAGGCAGACGCTTAACGACTGAGCCACCCAGGCCCCAATTTCTTCACATTTTAAAGAAGTGATCATTACCTTGTATTTCAGTAGTACAAGCAAGGGCTTGTATTCCATTACATAGAAACTGATAGAGACATCTGGTTTATTTCACAAACTAATTTAATTCTGATATCAAAGCCTATCAACAAGAGCACAAAGAATTACAGACCAACCTCATGACTAGACTTGAAAAAGTAAATACTGATAAGTGATAGAATAACAAGCACTGATACAATGCTTATTATGTACCAGATAATGTCCTAAATGTTTTCTATTAGCTCATTTAATCCTTACAACAACCTATGAGGTACGTACTATTACAATGACCATTTTATCTAAATGAGAAAACAGATACAGAGAAGTAAAACAACTTGCCCATGGTTATATAAATAAATAAGTAAAGGATCCAATATTTGAATCATTAGAGCCCACTTCCTTCACCCACTACATTATAGTACATCAAAATAACATACCTTGACTGTGTAGGATTTCTTCCAAGAATACAAGGTTGGGTTAGTGCTAGGAACTCTGTATATCAGGTCAAGTATCATATGAACATTTTACTGGGTGCTGAAAATACATCTGGTAAAATTCACTATTCATTCCTGGTTTAATATATAAATATATCATAAAGTTAACATAATTAACATACAAATTCTTGGTAAAGTAAGAATAGGAGGATGGGGGCGCCTGGGTGTTTCAGTCAATTAAGTGTCTGCCTTCAGCTCAGGCCATGATCCCAGGATCCTTGATCCCTGGTCATGATCAGGCTCCTGGCTCAGCAGGGAGCCTGCTTCTCCCTCTGCCCCAACCCCCTCTCTTGAGTGCTCTCTCTCTCAAATAAATAAATAAATAAATAAAATCTTAAAAAAAAAAAAGAATAGAAGGATAGTTCAACCAATAGCCATATCACATCTAATGAGTAAACATTAAATGCACTTCTGTAAAAGTCAGGAAAAGGTAAAGATCCCTATTATCATCACTATTGTTGATCTTTGTTTGGAATTTATACCCTGTGCATTAAGATTTTTTTTAAAAAAATATTATAGCATGCAAATATTTACAATATATTAAGTGGGAGGAAAAGCAAATTATGGAAGAATAAAAAAATATACTATGTACATTTAAAAGTAAATTACAAAAATACATCAAAGAAAGATAATCATTATTACCTCTGGAAGATAAGATTTTGAGTGATTTTTGAAATGTTTGAACATTTTTCCACATTTTCCAGATTTATATTCATATACCTACTATTGTGTTTTTCTCATTAAGAAAGGGAAGTTTCACCACAATGTGCTGGAAACCTGATGCAAAATATAGTACATGTGTTCCATAAATATTCATTTATTAACAACTATTATAGAAGTTCAGA